TTTCCCTCAACAAAAGAGTTTAAATTTAAAAGAAATATAAATTATGCTATCTTCTATAAAAAACAACCCGAACGTTTCTCAGAAATTGAAGTAGAACTACTGCATGCCTCAGATGTCCCACTGTTAGGTATATAGCCACAGGAAATCAGATGTACATAAAAAAAAAATACCTGTGCTTCCACGTTTATGATACATTATTCAAAATCGTCTAGATGCAGAGTTTAGACAGGCAGATAAAAATGTGACATAGGGCTGTGTCTAGACATATCAAATGAACTAAAGAATATGAATTATAAATTGTGAAATATGAAAAATATTTGATATCATTACAGCTGTGAATCTAGGCTAAATTGTCTCAATTTATATTACAATTTATATCTCAATTTATAATACAAATTGTCTCAAAAATTGTCTCCATTTGTCTTATAAATTATGAATGATGTTTACGTAAACACATAAAATGTGGGTATATACATAAAAGCACATTATTTAGATCCATACAAAGAATGGGATCCTGTCATTTGTGGCAGTATAGGTGAAATGGAGGAAATGTTAAATGAAATCAGCCAGGCACGGAAGGACAAATAGCAGACTATCACGCATGTATACAACATAAAGATGATTGTTTTATAGAAGTAGGGATGGGAGGCCGAAGGGGGAGAAGAGGTGGGGCGAGGTTGAGTAACAGACAACCAAGACACAGTGAAATAGAAGGAATAAGATCTAGTGTTCCACAACACAGCAGGGTCAATATCGTTTATAATAATTACATGTTTAGATGTACAGATTTTAGCGGGTTTATCCTATGTTGTATGTTTATATGAGTGAGTATATACCGTGTGTGTCTTTTTGCTTCTGGGACAGCCCACTTAGGATGATCCTTTCCAGGTCCCACCATTTACCTGCAAATTTCATGATTTCCTTATTTTTCATTGCTGAGTAATACTCCATTGTATAGATGTACCACAATTTCTGCATCCATTCTTCAGTTGAGGGGCATCTGGGCTGTTTCTAGCTTCTGGCTATTACAAATAAAGCTGCTACAAACATGGTTGAGCAAATGTCCTTTTTGTGTACTTGAGCCTCTTTTGTATATATGCCTAGGAGTGGTATGGCTGGATCTTGAGGAAGTGCTATTCCAACAAACTAAGCAAAAGAGAGGACCCTAACTAGAATGCTCAATCCCCATCCTGAAAGGCAAAGAGGATGGACATCAGAAGAAGAAGAAAACAGGAAACAACCTAGGAACCTGCTACAGAGGGCCTCTGAAAGCCAGAAGAAGAAAACAGGAAACAACCTAGGAACCT